GTTGTATTTCTCATCGTTGTTACATCGCACCCCGAGACCCCTCTGCAAGGGGATGTCAGCCGGTTTTACGAGTAATCCAGTGACCCTCCTACGTTCACCACGTCATGCAGTGATCCTCCCTCTCTGCTTCCTCAGTGCCCCTTAAGCAATACACCCCCATTTTGCCTGGGAGCCACTAGTAGGCGTTGACCGCTGCGTTGACCTGCGGGGCATCCTGTGCTGTGTTCCCCGGGTCTTGTTTCACTCCAGGTAACACTTTCCAGGGTCCTCCTTCCTCTCGTCTAAGAGCAGCTCCCTCACAGCTGGACTTGTTGGGTGACTTGGAGTCAGAACTATTTGTAAGAATAATTCCGTATCCGTTAGGGACAGCTAGGGTGTAGGATGTGTGTCCTTAGCACAGCAGGGCATTCTTGTCCCAGCCCTTTGTCTTGGACCTTCGTGCTGTATTGTCGAAGGGAATCGGAGGCCAGCCCCAGCGTGAGGGAGTTGAACGCACACTCGCTGGGATCTTGGTGAAATGGCTGGCATTCTTTATGTCTAAATCCCTTCAAGTTTCAAACGAAGCTGACACCCAGGCCCTGTCTCCCAAATGGGATGTGAATATCCGTGTGGAAGGGCCTTCTGCTGTTCACATGGTAGCGTACATAGGCCTCTTCTCTTGATCATGGTCCTAAGAGAGTGGACACGTGCCAACGCTCGGCATGCTGGACCTTTTGTCCCTTGCCTTTTCCTTGTTTGCTGTTTCCTACTGTTTTGTCTTGCAGATTAGAGGGTGGACACGTGATTTAGGGGAAGGGGAAGGCAATACACCTGTATGTTCTCAATGTGTCTGTCTAGGGTGCAGTCCGTATACTTAAGCAAAGCAGGGTGGACACTGTATGTATAAGGAGCGACAGTGGGAGGTATTGCCCATAGGGTACTGGGCGTCTGTTGAGGGTGATGGAGACTTGGAATAGGATGGTGGTGGAGGCTGTGTAACAGGGAGAGGGGTATTCATGTCACCGAGCTGTACAAGGATGGCGAAGGCAAATGCTTTGTTGTGTATCTTTCAGCACTGTGGTGTGCGTGTGTGGTGTGTGTGTGTGTGTGTGTGTGTGTGTGAGAGAGAGAGAGAGAGAGAGAGAGAGAGAGAGAGAGCGCAAGAATAAAAACCAATAAGCTTTGGAATCAGGCTTTATTTTTTAAGTACATGAGACAAAAATCTCACCGTCCCCCTCTCTTCTAAAGAGCATTCCGGCTAACCTTTACAAACAATGTTTATCATCACGCACCTTTATTTCTCACCTTTGGGGGAATTAGGTGGAAGTTTTCAGGGTAGATCCTCACCCGTACATCTACATCCCGCGGGGGGCCGTTCTGTTTCCCTTCTTCCCTGTAGTCCCATGCTGAGCCGTCACTTCCTGCCCTGCCTCCCTGGGGCTCCTGCTGCTTTTTAAAAAATGTGTGTCATTATTATTTTTTTTACTGTGGCAAAAACACGCACCACAAAACATTCTCCCGTTCAACAACTTCTACCTGTATAATCCAGTGCATTGATTATACTCTTCGTATTGTACAACCATTACCGATGTCCTTTTCCAATCATTCCACCACCATTAACAAGAACTCAGTGCCCTTTGAGCAGATCCTCATCGTCCTTCACCCAAGGGCACCACAGGTCAAGTTTGGGTTCTCTCTTTCTTTTTTAGTAGTTTCCTTGGTATAGTATTCACACATCACACGTCTTCCATCGCTTTTAGAAAGAGTTGGATGTGCATCAAGCGTTTCCTGTTTCCCTCCCTCCCTCCCTCCTTTCCTGACCCTCTGCGTCCTTTGCCGCTGTGTGAAGGGTAGACAGGCCTTGACTACCATTTCTGCTGGGACCTTGAACAAGTCATCTTCCTCTTTTTTGAGCCTCGGTGTCCCTGTGTGCTGAACTGAGCTAGACAAGGTTTGTGCAGCGCTTAGCATCGCGCATAAGATGTTGGCATCCGGCATCTGCTGGCGCTGACTCTTCCTTTTGGGTTTCAGGGAGCGCGGACGAATTTAACTACACAAGAATGGGAGGCAGTACCGTGATCGAGGGTGTAAACGACCGAGCGGACATGGCTGAGACTCAGAAGACCTTCACCTTGCTGGGTAAGGCCAGGGTGTGGACCAGTTTCTCC